TCTTACATTTTGTTTCATCGATCCTCTATCCTGATTGTACTTTTCTTCCCAAAACGTGTGCAGTTCAATCACACTTATATCTCTCCTTTCCATTTCTCCTCTTTATTTTTGTACATATCCTGATCACCTCCTTTGTCCTGTTTATGCAGTCCATTGTTATTTGGCCTGTTCTTCTCCTTTTTGGTTCTCAATCCTTTCTCTTCATTCCATGAAATTCTTTATCTGCTCATGATCTTTCTTCCCTTACCTTCACTGGATGACTCCATCAGCTCAGCCATTTGGCATATTCTTCATTGCATGGGGATGCATGTTGGTGCTTCTAGGTATCCTCTCATCAAATTTATTATTTTACTCATTCTTTGGCTGCTCACTTCCATTGTCCATTAAACTGGCCTATGAACAACATCTCACATATTTGTTGCACGCTATCTATCTATATCACTTCACCATTTTTGTCTTTATCTGTCCATGGAATACAGTTCACCCTTCTGGATGACTTTCCCTCATCAAACCACTACCTGGATGTAAAGTTCCTGGGTGGTCTGGTGTTGGATTGACATAAGGCCAGCCAACATAAGTCCTCACTCAGTTGCAGTTGAGATGTTACATCACAGCTCTGTCTCACTGGCCATGAGGTTAAGATGGTAGAGACCCTGTTCCTACCACAGTCCAGAAACTGAATTCCCAGTGCCACCTGGTTTTGGACTAGAATTGATCCACTATGTACTGTCTAATGTACCCTAGCCACATTATACATATAACGATTCTGAAAGCAAAATCATATGGAAATACGTGAATTAAGGTAGGAACCTCAAGGCTAGTAGTAAGAGAAAAATGTTCAGATATAGATGGCAGCACTGAATTGGGAAAACTATATGCAAGTGGAGGTGAGTATCTATTAGAAATACATTTTCAATGTTTGAAATGCTAACTTTAGTGGTTACTATACTTACTCTTACCTGTAGAAAATCAATATACCTGAGAATATAATAATTTAATAAGCAAATGTTACATCTCTAAGAAATTTATTTAATTTCCGTGTTCTTATTCTGATACAGCTTTAAATAGTTTAGTTTATACATTAAGTATTACAGGATAACTGGATAAATTGACATATTCAGAAGGGCATCCAATGGAATTTTGAACAAGAAATTTAGAGTTAACCTATTTTTTTTATCTGGAATATAGCCTTTCATGCATTAGATATACAAAGTTTTTTACATCTCTAACATTTTAGGTTATAAATTATATTTAAAATACAAGTTGCAGCAGAAGCATGTAAATTAAATCTTTTATTTGATAGCAGTAATACTTCTGATATAGTGAATACCAAGTGCTTATTTTAACTCTCAGAGTATGTATAAACTTAAAGGGTGTTATGTTATGAAGTTTTAAATAAAGAAGTAATTTATGTGTACATTTTTGTTACATTTTTCTGTTACTTTCAATCATTAATTTATGTGGAATTTTTTATTTGAAAATGATAAAAAGTTATTATTATATAAGCTGATTTGTGGTCTTTTTTACTTAATCTACATTCATTGATACAAGACATTCAAGTATTAAATATTCATTCTGAACATACAATAAGTTATGTTGGTCAAGTAGAATTGAAAAAAAAAGTAGATATTCGTATTTTTTTTACAAGTACAACTTTTATAATGTTGTGAGCTTTTTATTTTAAAGTAAAGATAAATGTCTTCCCAGAAACCCATGAAAAAACATAATGAATAATGTAATTTTGATGTAAAGGTTTATGAAACTAAGTTAGTTGTAAACCTATATTTTCTGAATTATAACAGTTAATACTCTAAATTTTGTTTTTAGACTTTTCTATAGAAAAATACTGCAATGATTCCACATGTGCCGAAAAAAACAATAGCATTTGTGTAGTAGACTATGAAAACTCAATAGCTCATAAATGTGTTTGTGCAGAAGGATTTAAAGAATTTGATGGAGTGTGTTATAAAAAAAGTAAGTATGGAGATAATTACCTTTCAAACATATAATTCTTTATAATGTATGTACGGAATTTAAAATATTTTGTCTGAGAATTAATGACGATATTGCCTTGTGTGTTGAAATAATTCTTGAGAGTGTGATATACATGTATCTGGCTTAATAGATGTTGTTACTTGAAATTACCTTTATCTGGAGAGGTTTATAGCAAATTTAATGAATGATCTTTTGATTAGAATATCTTTCAAAACTCGAACATTGTTGGAGGATAGGAAAGAGTAAATGCTGTTTGATTCCATCAGAACATTTATAATGAATCCATCATTGTTAAATATTACAAATCTTTCCAGTTTTATAACTATCTTACAGAGCAATATTATGTATTTGTTTTAAATTGCAATTCATATAAACAATTTCACCTCACATCTTATCTAATGTACTTTCCTAATGTACTCAATTTCATACTTATGGTGGGGGCATAAATGTATTAAATGTACATTTATAAACCTAAGGCATTTAACCTAACATATACAAGCTTATACTCACCTCATCCTGAATAGCATAATGTGAGTCAGCACTAATTATAATGTTTTGTAGAAGCATATCTCTAAACAGTATGTATATGCTTAATTTTAATGCTATGAATGTTTAGAACAGATTCATATATGTGCTGTCTCCTACAAATTTTACAAAGCAAATCACCATTTAGTAGTTTATAAATTTTTATTATTTGGTACTTTTAGTGACAAAGCTGTATTATTAACACATTTTATAATGCTTAAGTAGAATCTTTAACCTCAAAGTTGTCAGATGGTATATATATATATGTATGTATGTATGTATATAATAAGTTAACTATATTTTTTTTTAAAACAGATTACATCAAAAGGAAGGATAGCATGAATTTTGTGCAGCATATCTAAACCATTGATTAAATATATTTAGATTTAATTTTATAGAAAAGTAAATAAATATACTTGAAAAAATAAAAATGCAGCCACAAAATAAATATACAACACTATGACACAAATCGTAGGGTTGGTCATTATGTTTCTCTTAATTATGTTTTCATCAAAACTTGCTTATTTCAAGTTCAAAACTAAAAAATTGATTTCATGTAATGTAAAAGATTATTCATCAGTGAATTTGACTTGTGATTCCATTGTATAAGAATTAAAGAGTATTGAAATACAAAATGTAGATTGTCAGAGATCTTTCTGGGTTAGTATTCATTGTGCATTGACATAGACACACTTTAAGTCAGTCATTAATGATTGTTAAGTATAAACTTTTTTGTGTATAGGTGTGTGCCACTGAAAAGAGAAGTCGTAATGCATTATGTAATATATAGATATAGATGCACAAACACACACATATATATATGTATGTTATTCTTGCCAAAGGCAATTGTTTTGTCCTTTATACCTATTTTCCTTTAACAAAGATATATTTCATTTTAGAGCTGTTTGATTGTAATTAGTTTTATCTGAATATATAATCATGTTTTTATATGTCCAATAGTTTTATAATAATTTTTCAATTCATAATGTCTAGCAAATATTTTTTTTATATTTTCTGTTATATAGAAAGTCATCCAATGTAGAATTGGCTGAAAATATTAACTGTGTAGGTAAATAAGAAGAAACTTACATAAATGAGCATGACAAATGTATGTTATTATATGCAATGTTAAATGACAAATCAAACACAATATTTGTAACAAATAGGTATATTTGCAGATGTCAATACCATCATAACTTGGAAGCTTCTAAGCTTTCATATAAAAATTGATCAAATTTATATAGATGAAAAGCAATTTCAGAGTCTCCCTTTTGTTTAAGTAGCTTATTTTATTTAGCTTATTTAACATCATTTAGACACAGTAAGGTATGAGTTATTTAAGACCATCCTTGTGCACCCACCTGTAGGAAATGTAAAAATTTAAAGCCAGCTTTTGTACAAGCTTGTTTCATTGGCTGGTCTGATGTTTACTGTGCATATGTGAAAGATATTGTTGCTAACTTGGAAGTGTCGTTTACATTTATTGGTATCTTTAATTGTTGGTTTGTGTTATGCATTAACTCAAGGCAGCTGCAAATTTCTTTAAACACTGTTATGTTATATGGTGCCTTGACCTTAAAGCCAAGAATGAAACTTACACTAGTATTCTGAGGCTGATATTCATGCAAACTAAACTACCAGAGTTCATTTTTCAAGCAGACAGTTTTCCTGCATGACAGTTGCTCATTGTGTGAAGTATATTGTTATATATTGGTAAATAGTTGAAGAACGTTTCTTTATTGAGTTTTGGTATAACTTGCTATTTCAAGGTGCTTAATTTTTGGTATAAATTTTACCTGTTTCAAATTTGAGGTATTTTTACTTTTGTGGTAATAGTATTTCTTTGCAGTTTTTTTAATAGTTGGTGTTCACTGTATCTTTAAATTATTTCCCTCATATTCAGCTGACCTTTCTGATTTATACTAAGTTAGTTCTTCCTTTGACCAATAACATGTAAGAAGATTAGGTGGTAAGGATAGTATATGCACTGTAACCAAGCTGTGGTTGTTGGAACCTTACTGGGATGTATTATTAAAATAATTATTCTGTAAAAGTTAGCCCAATATTAAGAATATGTTTTTTGTTAACTTTCAGTTTTTAATTTTGTACTGCTTAGTTTCCTATATTGGTATTTGAAAAAAAAGTTATTATTATTTTTGTGTTAGTCTTAGGTTTTGTATTATTTTATTTTTATATCTAATTCTATTTTAT